AAGCTGGTGCCATAACATTTCCATATCCTCCGTATGCAGGATAGTTCATTGGTGCTCCTGGATATGGTCCAGCAATGGCAGGAGGGGCTGCTTCAGGTGAGTAAACATAGGGGTTGGATGGTGGGCTCCTGCTGCCATGGCCATACATAGCAGGTGATGCTGATATGATGGAACCCCAGCAGTGTGTACTGAGCCTGAGAGGGAGAACCTGACAAATGTGGGCCCTGTTGGGAAAGATGAAACATAAGCATTTGTCGAACGGCCAGCCTTTGCTGGGGGCATGGGCCCACCATTGCTGGCGTGTTCGTTTATTGGCAGGGACTGCAGCAGCAGGCCTTTTCTTCTCACCCTTTGTCTTCCTAACTGTTCAAGGCGCTTTTTCAGATTTTCTGGGGGGAACTCAGTCTCGATTTTATACTCTTCGATGCACTTGAGGACCGCGCGGAGTGCTGACTGCTCTTTCTTTGCAGCTAGGTGCTATAAATTAACCAAAAAACAAAAGAAGAGAAAAGAGGAAAGAACCAGCCTTCAGTATCTCCCATTGAAATCAAATAGAAAAAGACCAAACATGATATTATTTCACACTTGTTTAAAATATTAACCAATCTGTGAAAAGCCCGATTCACCTAACATGATGAATGACAAATCTTAGACATAAGGTCTGTGAAATACAAATTTGATGCAACTAGCAAAAAACCAAAATGCTATCATACTTTAGCAAGATAATGGAATGTGTGGGATGAAATTTGTCTCTCCCACCCTAGGAGTTTACTTCATGTATGCAATTCACAATTAATATTTGTCACCAAGTTTCTCACAAAAGGAGAATTCAGTGCTTGGTGCAATGCGATACAGACATATAACTTGCAAAAGAGTAAGAACCACAAATACTTCTTATAAGTATACAACCACAAGCTAAGCCCAACACCAACAGGATGAGAAGGGAGCAGGGCAACTAGCAGGGAAGGAAGCATATGGCATTCAACCCAACAACGAATCAAGTAGGTAACACACTGATATATACAATGAAAGCATATTCATCTGGAATTCTGGATGAATGCAATAAAAAGATACCGCAGCTCTCCCGGAATTGTTGGGATCCTCCAAAATAGACGTTGCAGCCTTTTTGGCATCTTTCAGAAAAGCTTTCAGAAGGGGAACAGGGGGGAACTTGTCCACAAGGCCAACTTCATAAGTAAAATGCACAGCATCAACCTGCTGTCCCCTGCTAATTAATTCTTCAATCATATCTGCACACAAGAGAATAAAACAAGCCAAAACTAACTTATAGGCATCTATCATTACCAACTGAATTTGAAACATGTCCAATAAATCAAGAGAATGGCCCCCACCATATAGGAAGCTATGCTACCAAAATATTTATACATGTCCGCTAAGTCAAGAGAATGAACCAACAATATTGAAAGCTAGCACCAGCAAGGTCGATGAGCACAATATCCCATTACAATAGCAGTATAATGGAGGCACTTGATTCAACATAGAAAGTAAACTCAAGGCTTAATGCATATCAAATCAGAAGCGCTAAAAAAAGCACATGTGAGTGCTACATGTACACAAGAATATAACCACTCATGTTCTACTAGTTACATGTTTTAAATAGCATCCAAAGAAAGTATACACCGGTCAAAGGGCCAAGAAAAAGAGCACACCCATAGATCCCATCATGACCACTTTTCCACTAAAAAGCGATTAATAATCAAAGTAATGGCACACACTCACATACACTCTTGATACAATAACAAAACTATGACTAGTTGACCAAGTTCTCTCATGAACAAATGGATGGCATCACCCCAATGTACACCAATAGGAGGTTACCCATTTACATTTCAATATCAAGAGAAAAGAGGTGGCACCAAGATAGGGGCCAGAACAAAATAAAGAGTGGCTGCTCATTGTAAATGTCAGCTTGCTTTGTTGAAGACTTTTATCCTAAAGAACAGCCCTCGAATTATCCCAATAGGAATAAGTATGATCAATGGTCATCATATGAAGAACATAGTGAAACACCATATTTAACGGTTTTCTTAGACTAGAAGTAAATACTCCTATGGACTATTTCTGTTGGCAAACGGTCCCTTGGGTAAATTGGGCACCAAAAACTCCAACTTAGTATTCACATTCATGCACAATTGATGAAGACTAGCTGACTAGGCATTGCCCTTATGGCAATAAGGATCCATAATCAGGTGAACAATGATATGCATTTTGGATAGCAAGGTAGGACATACAAATCAAGAAGAGGCAACTTCTAAATTTTTTTAATACCAATCTCCATATAAAATTTGGCATTAGTGCCTTAAGTTCAAGAAAACATCCAGCAAAGGTTATTCAAAGACCACCATACATTTCTCCAGTACCTCCTGTTCAATATTAATCAGTCATCTACTTTGTTTTCCCTTGAGGAATCACAGCTCTTTTTTTTTTTTTAATATGAACAACAAAAAACTTTATTATTAAAAAAAACTGTACATCAAAATTGTTGGATAAGAAATCCAACACATAGAACAACCTATATATCACATGATGCTTGTTATCCCGCCTAAATTGTAAAGGCGGGTTTCCTTTGAAATCCTTAGTAACCCAAACCCAAAGTCATCAAAATAATAATCATAGAAGGATTTCAAATGAAAAACTTACACTTTTATCAGCACTTTAGCTTTCCAAATCATCATAACGAATATAAAAAACAGACAAGAAAAGTCATCAAAATAATAATCAAACTTAGGATTTACAAGGAAAAACACTCGAAGACTCAAGAACCCACCTTCTTCTGTCACATGCCTCTAGGCATAAGAAGTAATCATCAAAAGTATTCAAAATTGATATCACATCCCTCAATATTTGTTATAAAGATTTCTATAAAAACCAAAATATCAAGAATATGGTTGATTGTAATATCTAATCAAGGAAGCAATGGTCGCTTCATCATAGGAAGATAAATGATAGAAACGTGGAAACATTTATAACAAAGATGACTCCACCACCTATACATCCTCTTAGAAACGGACTCTCATCCCATTTCTCACAACCAACACAAGCTTTCGACAGAACCTAGTCAATCCCTGAAATATAAATTTTATGGGCATTGGAAACTTCCCCCTTCAACTATGTTAGTGTCTGTAATTCATATTTGTTCTTGATAACTAAATGTCATAGCGCATTTGTTCTAAAGGAAACCTCCACAACCACTTATCCACTAAAACAACATTTCTTGCCTTTAAATTTTCAATTGAAATACCACATTTATCCTTACTCCCCTTCACCACTTCCTTCTCACAAAAATCCACTCATTTTTCAATTTTCAAAGCAACCTTACTTGGCATCCTCAATAAAGAAAAAAAATGTGGGAATACTAACTAGTACTAACTATACTAAAGTTAATCTTACCCCCAACCAAATAAAAAAAACTCAAGAAATAAAAGCTCTCTTCCACCCTATCTAATTTTTTTTGCACTCCCTCCACCACCAAATCCCAAAAAGATGGTGACAATGGATTCCCACCAAAGTTGTATCACACCTCTTTGCTTACAGCAAAAAAAGTGAAAACTAGTATGTGCATAATTAGAAAACTCTTGCCTCAGATTTAATCCCATTCAACATAATTTCTCAAACCTCAGAAATCAGAAATATCATACAAACTTCTTTGTTGAACTTACAACCTTACAATGTTGAAATCCCCTTCCCATCGGGATGCAATCAGTCCCAATTTGATAGTTCTGCAACCTCTAAAATTAGTATTTTTCGTACAATATCTTTCTATTAAACTCGCAACAATATATTTTAAATAAAGTGTGGTATCAAATACCGAAATACACTTCCTGACATGTATCATTTGATTTAAGTGCTCCTTTTTCTTATAAATTTTACAGGTCCCCAATATGAGCTACTAACAATCCAAGTAGGAACATTAATTTCTATATCAAGAAAAAAAATAAAAACAAATCGGAAACATACCAGACATTTTATCACCCAAACCGAGCGAAACAGCGAGCTTGGGCATTTGCTTCCTCCACGCCGACCCAACAACAAGCTTCCTATACAACTCCACGTCCTCTTTCTTAACAATCCCAAAAGTCACTAAATGTTGCAGAAACGTATGAACATCCGGAGTCTTCACATTCTCAATCCCTCCCCTTTCCTCCAAGCTCTTCTTCCATGTCTCCGCAATCTCCTTTGCCCTTTCCTTCACTCTAGGCGTCACCAACATCCTCTCACTCCCCAGTATTGGATCCACCATCACTGGAATCAACGACTCCAACATCAACACACAAGCCCAACCCAAGTCATTCACTCTATCACTCTTCAACTCCCTTGTATCCACCGGAAACACCTCCGATATAGCCTCCAAAACAAATCTCGCCGGATCTACACAAACCCCTAAAGCCACCGGTATTTTCGTCCTCATTACATCCAATTCCTTCTTCCGTACAATCACAAATTTCCAAAACCCTAGAGAATTCATTTTCACACAGAAAGAGCTCAATTTCAGTAGCAAACCTTCAGAATCATCGACTTCGGGCTCTGTAACGGTGTCATTCCTGGAATTGATGGCGAGTACTTTGTTCTCTTGGACTTTTCCAAGCGCGATTTCGATTGAACTGTTCATGGTGGTTTCGCGTTTCTCAAGTTCTTGGAGTGACTGTTTGGTTTGAGTGTCGAGGGTTTTGAGTTTTGCTTTGAGAGCTTCAGATTTCTTCAGGAGGTCTTGTTCAAGAGAAGTGAAGTGATCGGAGAGTTCTTTCCAGAGAAGAGTACAGCTCGTCATGAGAGAGGTTTGTCTCTGGAACTCGTCGAAGCTCGGCTGAGTCAACTCGCCGGGATCGGCGATTGAACCCATCGTGAGCAGGAACGAGTCACTTTTGAATCTCTAATGGACCTCCTTGATGGGCACAGAGGAAAAAGAAACTGTAGAAATTTCAAAGAGAGAGAGAGAGACAGAGAAAGTGACGAGAGAGATAAGGGTTTGGTGGTGGTGATAAAGCTAGGTTGAAGGAAGAGGCGGCTTGATGACGTGGCGGTATAATAATTCGCCACGTGTGATCGTGTCTGTCAAAACATTGGTATTGGCGGGTGCTAATATGCGCCCATGGGTTGAAGGGTGCTGTATGAGAAGAGAATGATGACTGGTTGAGAAAAATCCTCCGTGTAATAGAACCGAGCAGTCTGAGAAGAGAGTGATGATTGGTTGAGAAAAATTCCCCGCGTAAACAAACATAGCAGAGAGGGGGTGTTTGGCTGGCGGAATAATTTGAGGGGATGAACGACTTTCTCTTTTTTTTTTTTTTTTGTCAATGAACGACTTTCTCATAAACCGAAGAAGAAGTGAAAGAAAAATTTCAATCACATCTTTTCTAATTTATTATATTTTTAAGAATATTTTTTAAATTTTTAATGGCACCTCTTCTTAGATTAAAAACTTTAATTATAATATAATTTTACTATATTGCCTATAATGTATTTTAGAAAAAAAATTTATTCACACATTCTTTAGATATGTATATCTTTAATTAAACTTACTCTATTTTATGATTTTTTTTACTTATTAAAATTCAACTCGAATCAAATTTTAATAAATTCACATTGAATTTTAATCTGTCCAAATTTTAATATGTAAAAAAATATAAATTTTAATCTACTCAAATTTAATACATAAAAAACAAATTTTAATAAACTTGAAATCGAGTTTTAATTAGCACGAATTTTAATAAGTACAAAAATACAAATTTGAATCGAATCGAATTTTAATCAACGCCAATAATTCAGATTGAACTAAATTGACTCAAATTTTAATATGTAAAAAAAATTAAAAAAATTTAATAGACTGAAATTTTTATACGTAAAAAAATAAAATTTAATCAATTCGAATCGAATTTTAATCGATTCAAATTTTAATATGTAAAAAATAAATTTTAATCAACTTAAATTTTAAATAAATTTTAACGGCTCAAATTTTAATCAAACTTTAAGTATAAAAATTATTTAGAGCTTACATAGGGGTAATTTTAATATTTTAAATGAATTTTATTTCTTATTTTTTTAGAAATAGTAGTTTAATGATAAAGGTGTCAACGATGTTTAAATACAAATTAAAAAAAAAATATGATAAATTAAAAATTGTGGGGGTGTTTGGTTTGCATTCCGAAAACTATTTTTTGTTCTCAAAATTTCAAAAACATCTAAAACTTATTTGTTTAACATTTTTGTTCTCAAAAATTTTAGAAAAAATGGGAATTTGAGCAAAAAAATAGAATTAAGTTAAACTTGTTTTCAGAATTTTCTTTAAAAATTTTGGAAATAAGGAGACAAGTTTTGCTCATTAAAGAGGTTTACCCTTCGAACCTTCTTAACAGCAAATAAAGTCCTCCTATAAAAGGTATTTTTTTTGTCTGTTGTCTCTTTTTTTTTTTGCCTCTCTCTCTCTCTACTTCGACAAAACTCAAACGACTACATTCTTCGACAACTTTGTCTTCTCTAACAAAAAGATATTCTTCGGCGACTGTAAATCGTTTTCTCCCGACTCAAGTAAGCTATAGATTTGAGTTTTTTTTTTCTTTTTAGCACAATTTTTTTTTGGGTTTTTTTTTTTTTTGATTTTTTCATTATTCCTTTTAATACTATAACAGATCTGCTGCAACACAGCTCTAGCTAACAAATGCAAATGATCCCATTTTTTGGGTCTGCTTGGTTTGATTTTGATTTCTCGTTTTTGGCACGATTTATTGGGTGATTCTCGATTTAGGTGGTGGTGGTAGGTATTGGGTGGTTCTCGGTGTGGGTTGGTGGTGATTGTGAGTGTTGGGCGGTTTTCAATTTGGGTTGGTAGTGGTTGTGTGTTGTGGGTTGACAGTGGTTGTGGGTGGTGGTGGTTGTGGGTGTTAGGTTGATGGTGGTTCTTTGTTGTGGGTGTTGGGTGATACACAGTGAGAGAGAGAGTTGAAGAGAGGTGGGAATTGTAGATTATTATCTAAATAAATTTTAAATTTTTGTTCTTTAAAATTATTTTTAAAAATATATAACCAAACAAATTTTGTAATTTAAAAATACTTTCTCAAAATTCTTATCAAAAATAATTTTTATATACTGTTATTTAACGTACAAACCAACTAAAAATTTTTCAAAAGTGGGGACTCAGAAGCTGGCGAAAGTAGTGGGGAGTGGTGGGCCATAGCTCACCGATCATTGTTGAAGTGATACAAAAGTAAGGCACCTTGCCGGCCTTATTGAAACACTGGATCATGTTCGTGCACACCCATACAGTCATATGCCCTCTAGAGATCACGTATCTGTATCTATATCTTGTGTTAGGTATTCCGAAAAACAAAAATCATTCCCAAATGGATCGAATTTTTTTTAGGTCATACTTAACCGCTTACTCTGTTAGAGTAAGAGTTAGATGGAGACTTATAAACATACACACCCCAAAAACTATTCAACGTGGGATAGCCCAAATGGACCCAAATTGATTCGAGTAAATAACAAATTTGCAAAGTATTTAAAGTTTAAGATTTATTTATCACACAAAATTTAAATTTAATCAATACGTTGAACTTTGCATTATATTACTCATATAAAACTCGAATTTAATTAATATAACAGATTTATGAATAATAATAATATATATATATATAATAAAACAGGAGTGTGCTTGAATTTTGTCTCAATCATATTTTTTCCTTTAAAATCATCACTAATCACTTACCTCATCCATCGTCCCTTTGTCAGATTCAAACGTCAAATTATATCACTTATTGTTATTATATGTTTAATCATTTATATATTTATTCTCTAAAAATATCATATAACTCATTTCTATCATATATTTAATTATTTAATATTTAATTAATTTATAATTAATATATTTTTAAAAAAATTAATATAATGAGATCAATTTTTTAGACACTCAAATTTTATATTTTATCGTGTCTTCGTGCACGGATTATGACTAATATATATATATATATCCGAGAAATACGTTTTAAACTACAAAACTAAGATTGCCATCCAGCTAAAAAGAAAATAGTCTTGTCTTGTGCTATGGAATCTTTGAAACAGGTGATGTGAGAGGTAATATCCTATTTAAAGAGTGTGAGGTGTGGTATTTTCCTTAATTAATTGGTATAAAAAATTCTCCTCCACCTCCAATAATAAGGGTTAATAAATTTTGCAGAATTATTTTTTTTAAGTTCAACTATGAGCAATATATTAAAATAATTTATATAAAAATAAATCAATTCAGCATTTAAGAAAATATGAACAAACAAGAACAATAATTTTTTTAGTGACTAATTTCAACTCAATCATATATTAAAGAGAAACACGACGATATTGTTTAAAATCTCAAAAATCGTCCATAACTAACCAATTCTACGGTAAATTTCTAAGTAACTTCATTTTAACTTTGTTCAGAAATTAATATTTTTAGAATGGTTATTTTGTTTTAAATCTCAAGAATGTCTATAATTAATCAATTTTATGATAAATTTGTAAGCAATTTTTAAATCTTGTTGAGAAATTGATATTTTTGAAAGGGCATAAATGTGCATAACTTATCATTTGCGTCTATTCATATGTTATTATACAATAATATTAAAAAATATGAGAAATTCTATTAAATAAGAGAGATATTGTATTTGGCTAATATATATAATGAGTTAAAGAATCACACATCATTTTTACTACTTATTTTAATAAAAAAAAATACTTGTTTTAATAGATTAGGAGAACAAGTGAACCACCAACTTATTGAAGACAAAAAAGACTAGGGCCACTATTTAAATTTTCAAAAATTTTAAGAGGGACAATGAGATAAATTGAATATATCGTTATTGTTTATCAATTTACGAAGTTAACCCCTCAAAAGTTAGTGGGGGTATTTGCCCCCACACCAATACATGTAGCTCCGCCCCTGCTTTGGATAACCAATAGGATTTTTTTTTTATTGAAAAAATGGGTAGGGATAAATGAGAGCATAACTCTGATAGAGTTTTATTGATAAGATCATAAAATTTCTGACCTCGTACATTATTCATCTCAAAAATGAATCTAATTAGAGAATTAACATAGCAGTGAATCATCGAAATCTTATATAGACCGCAAAACTCAAATTTCAAATCTCACGATAAGAAGTTTAACCAGTGTTTCATTGAACCACCCCCCCCCCCCAATCAATAGTACCAATAGGCAATAGGCAATAGGCTTGAATGCAGGATTAGTCAAATGAAATATTCCCACTCACCCACCCGTTGTTGAGCCATCATATCACACTAAACCGATATTTATAAAATAAATTTTGAATATTTGTAATTATCTTTTAATTATAATTATTAATTAAACCCGTAAGATGTTAATGAGAATAGACATTAACAAGAATCGTTCTTCAAAATTTACTATTAGTTTTAATTTCAAAATTTGTATTGTTATAATTATACTTATTTCTGTCATAATTGACTCGTCTTGAAAATGATAAAAATTAAAATGTCCAAAACTATCGACTTCATCTAAAACTATTTATAAGTCAAAATAGCATCCCCTCAATCAAACCCGACCTCACAGAGAGTCCACATTGTATTTTTCATTGAAGATGTCACCATATAATAAAATTTTCACCAGGTACAATCAGCAAAGTCAATTTCGGGAAACCAACAGTCCTGCCCTTAGAGCATCTCCAATGGAGTTGTCAAAATTGAGATGCCAAATTTAAAATTAGAGGTTTATGTGGCATTTTGGAATATAAAATTTGGCATCTTCACTTTATTAGTATTCTAATTGATATTTCAAAAATAATTTGTTTTAGTACTTCATTATCTTTATCTTTGGTTATATCAATAAAATAATACTTAATAAAGGATTTGATATGTCAAATTTGACATAATGCCAAATTATATTTAGCCAACTGGACATTTGAGATGCCGGTTGGAGAGGAAGCAACTATCAGATGTTGTCGTTGAGAGCTCCAGGTAGCATTTGAGATACCGATTAGAGTTGCTCTTACGTTCAATTGTCTAAGCATGTGTTGGATGGTTTTGGGTAAAGGGATTGAATTGATTTTAGCAAACTCTTCTCACCCCAACCCCCACCTTTGTGTACATAGTATTCATAGATAAATCATATTCATACATGCGTTTGTTCAGTAGTGTATACATATGTGAGACCCACATATTAATCATAATTGTACAGGAGATTTCTTGCAATAGATTGAGATAGCAATCCTCACGATGATGAACTTGAAACAATCACAACGGTAGAAAAGGGACTGGGTGAATACCCGACTTATCATCACTCCGAAACTTAAGTCAGCATAAGTTTGGAGGTTTCAGTACAGTATTTCTTTTCTCTCAGTTTAGTTTTGCGTACCTTTGTTCGCTTTCTGATGAGTATTTATACCTGAATTAGTAATGAGTGTCAAGGCTAGAAGTCTCATCTTAACATTCAATGACTTACACTTTTACCCATGAGCAACTAGTGTTCTCCACGCAGGTCTTCATGCCTAGTTTGCTCGGGCGATAAGATGACTTCTCGGGACATGCCAAGCACTTATGACTCTATTTTCGGTCATTTAAGCCCTCTGATCAGAGCTCGATATCTACTCCCGAGCGTTCAATGTTCAGGGAACAGTACCTTGGGGTGTGCCAAGGTGATACACTCGGCACAATAGTCATTAATGTCTCACAACCATGACAGTAGATGATACAGGGGCTCATTAATAACCCTGTTTCAGTTGCATCTCCATAAATGAGTTGTCAAATCGTCTTAAATGCTAGTGTCAATTTGTGAACTTGACTTCTCTAAGTCATTACTCCTTGGCGTCTCTTGAGCTTCATAACGATTACATCTTTACGTGTGTCAATTTGGGGGTTGCTAAGTTGCCTAAAATTCCGTCAATAATTATTACCAAATATTTGTCATGTCATTAACTAAATTATACTATCCAATCTTTTGTAATTATGTAGATTATGGATAAAAAAACATATTTTATCATTATATCCTAAGTTGGTTGATTTTAACCCCCCTAATGGATTTGTTGAAAATCATATTCATTGGTTTAATTTTTAGGCCAGGATATAAAAATTGGGTTTAAAAGTCCTAACAAAATAGAGAATTAAGTGTTTTATCGAATTATTTTACTTCAACTCATCCTTCCAAATCCGCTCAAAACGATTAAAAAGTGGCACCCTTAGTAAGGTCTATTTGGTTCATGGGTTTAGGTGGAATTTTATAGAATGAGTATTTTCAAAATAGTCTAATAAACAACCTTAGATCATGTCCAACCCTGCTTTCCAAAATGACTAGTCAAAATATATTTTAGTATTGCATTATCTATTTTAGTTTGTCACTTTTACAAGCTCATTCCAACCGCACTCTCTATTTTATCTAACTACTTCACCCAATTTTCTCTAACTTCTAATAATTTAAAGGGAATACAACATATATATAAAGAGATAGATTGAGAGAAAAGAGGTAGAGAGAGAATTTAGAGAAGTTAAATGGCTCTCCATATTTGGAGAGCCATTTTGGATAAAATAGAAAATAGAGAGTGAGATAGAGAGTGTTTTTAATGTTTATCTAGTTAAAAGAGAGGAAATAGAGAATAGGTCAGGGATGCTCTTATCCCTTATTTGATTATAAATTTTAGGGCCAAGATTTGAATCTCAATCCGTAACATACCCATAAGTAAAATCCATATATATATAAGTTTCAATAAACCCATGGGGATGAGTTTAGTCAATTCCATGGTAAATAATTTGTGATAGTTGTGATTAATCTATGGCTTTCATGTGTATTTGTGTTATTTACTAAATATAAGATTAGATATGATACATTATTCAATCTTATGAACAAAACCGAAAGATTAAATTTAGAAATGTTTTCATATAAAAAAAAAAAAATTCTTCTCTTAAAAATTATCCAAAGAACATAATTGTTGGTGAATGTGCATGGCAAGGAAACACATGCATTTGCATGTCAACAAAAACAGATCGGATGGGTAAGCCAGATTGACCGATTTATTTTGATGAGATTAATGTATTATTGTTAAATAATTTTAAAAAAAGTATTTGGTTAGAAAAAGTATTATAAGCATCGTCTCGTCTAAATTAATTTCTAAAAATATATATTAAATATAAGCATTCTCTTAAATAAATGAACAACAAAAGGTAACAAAAAAAATTATATTGTAATACTTTTAATATATTAATGTGTAATATGAAAAATTAAACTTTTAATGTATAAAATAAAATTTCTTAAATATTTTAGGGTGTAAAATATAATTTATTCAAACTTTTTATGACCAGAAGTTGATGTATAGATTACCCATATGGAACCCAAATTATATACCAACATTTTTAGACACATTCACAATCAAACCCTAATCTTTGTTTTCATGAAGCTAATTGCTTCTTTAATGAGGTAGTTCGAGTATAAAGAGGTCGAAGTTGCTGGGTAGAATTCAGACGTCATACATAGCTACTCAATTTTATTGAGGATTCAAACAACGATGGCTGTTTTTCTTGCTTTGAAGATCCAAACCCCTCTCATTTTCAATTCTACTGGGAAAGAAGTTAAAGCTTCCAGTACTTGTAAGTACTTAAATTTTTGTATACCAAATTCTGCATTATACCATCTGTCAATTTTTGTGTACGAAATTCTGCATTATACCAAGAAACAGTTGGTTTTAGATTCGAGTCTGGAAGTCCATTCTGCAGTAATATAGTTTGAGAATTTGGGTTTTCATCAATCTTTGTCCAGTGCCAATGGCTTGGATGTAATGGGTTTATTCATCTTTTCAGTTTGATTATTCCTGTCTTTTGTAATCACTACAAAACTGAGTTAATTTCACAAATACGTCATTGCTCCGTTCAAATTTTATGAGCTCTAGCCCCCATATGGGGCTTTTGGATCAACAGTTGGGTTCATAACAATTGGTATTAGAGCAACCATCACGTCATGAGTTGGAGTCGTGAAAGAGACAACCTATAGACTAGATTAAAATGTTTATATATATATGAACATAATGCTAACGCGTTGAATATTGGTAGGTGAGTGAAGTTGCCAAAGAGAAAGGGCTACCATTAGACCAGTGTCGAATGAGATCTAACTCTCCATAGGAACTTTTGGGTCGGTTGGGTTCATAACTTTCATACTTGTTTGTCCCAAAGTAACTTGGGTAAAAAGGTTATTCTATCACATAAGATTCAAATTTTCTGAAACTCTCTCTAACACTTTAATCCCTCTTTCATCATATTGTTTGGCCGCTGGTGAGCAAATGGTTCGTGTCAGGTTAGTGTTGTGTGTAAATTCTGTCAAAATTTGCTCAACCAATACATTGATCGTATGGTGGTGCGGAATCGGGTTCATATCGTCTGTAACTCGGGTAATTGTGTATATACTAGGTTAGGGGAATCCTATTTATCTAACAAGTCTGGTGCATTGACCTGGTTATATCCTTACTATGTGCTAAGAGCAATTTTGTACCAATGTATGTTGGATTGGCGGGTCGTGTAAAGAGTTGTCATCCCTGATGCAAAACCATATAATATATACATAAAAGTTCAAGGTTGCATTTTTCTGCCAATCTGTCCATGTATCTCAAGCCCAAACAGTGTCATTATGTGGTTGGGTTATGTTGTATTTTCTTCTCATCAAAGAAACAAAGATGATTTCTTGATATATTTCCGTCGTGATGTAGTGGTTTCTATTTTTGTTGATTTATTTATTTTTTTTCCACTACGAAGCAGGTAACCTGCAATCCAGGTGTCATGCTGTGCTACCTTCCCAAAAACCATCTCGCCGTCGCCAAGTTTTAGTGAGTGGTGCATTAGTTGCAATCTTAACCCTCAACAATGGCTCAACACCATTGCCAGCTTGTGCTGGAGATGAGTCAACTAGTCAAGAGGATCAGGATCAGGGCCTCATAGGGTCCATAAAAACGTTGTTTGATCCTACTGAAAAAACAAAGTCCGGTAAAGTGTTGCCGAAGGCTTACTTGAAGTCAGCAAGAGAGGTGGTAAAGACGCTGCGTGATTCATTGAAGGAAGATCCCAAGGATATTGCCAAATTTAGACGGACGCAGATGCAGCAAAGGAGTCTATCCGAGATTATCTCAGTGGGTGGAGGGGACAGAAGACAGTAGTCAATGAGGTAAGTTGAATCACATGTACATGTCACAATTGTTTGGGTTGATTCGAATTTATGATAAGTAATGAGTAACAGATAAACAAGTCTATTGGAACTTTGTTCTCACCTTTTCCCAACCCACACCTATGTTTTAGACCATTTTGCTGTTATGAAACTCTTTCAATCTACAGTATCCATTGAAATTGTTGCATAATTCTAACCTGAAATTTCCAGAAAGATTAAATTCCGGGGTATAATTGCCAGAAAAATATGAGGTAGAAGTATAAACCTGCTGTGGAGGGACTCAATGGTGGAACTAGACCAGAAGCTGGCTCATGTAACCAAAAATAAAGGTTCATGGGCAGGACTTGTTGGAATCCCCAGTCAATGGGGCCAGTTTTTATGAGTGATTTAGGTTCAGTTATGTGATGGTATTCAAATTGTGTCAATAGTCCACTAACTACCATATCAGGGCTGTGCATTGGTTTCAGTTCTCTCGAATTCGTGCATGATGCCATGTAAATGGTATGATTTCTGAATACCATCCATGTCCTGATCTACTGCTCCTTAACTTGATGAAAATGAAAATGAAAATTTCTATTGTGTGCCTTAAGGGATGTGATTGAGAAAGGAATTCGCTTTCTAGAACAAGCGATTTAAGAACGCCATCATTAGCCTGAAGTACCTAAATCCTGGAACATTCTCTTAGCCCTTCGAAGGTGTTAATGTTGTGGTGAACAGAATTCTTTGATAAAAGAAAAGGTGAATAATGGGTGACAATGTAGTTGAGAAAATACATGAAAATAAATGAAACATTACCCTGTCATCTGCGAAATCATTGCATTTTACATTTGAGTAACGTTGGTGTTGAAAGCACGGATACATTTAAGAATAAGTTACCATGACGGTTTCATATTGCAGGAATCATACGTCGTGATTGAGAAAGCAATCAGATCTCTAGCCAGCTTCTACTCAAAGGCAGGCCCATCTGCCCCACTTCCAGAAGAGGTTAAGTCTGAAATTCTGAAGGATTTGAACTCTGTGGAAGAATTTTTGTAAAGTTTAAGCAACTCACTTGTAGATTTTAATTTTTTATTTTTTGAACTGGACTCACTCACTTGTAGATGACAACTCCAATGTATAATCATTTTCTGCACTAATGCTTTAGAAAATGAGCTGGTTTATATTATACTTTACTTGTGTTCGTTGAAACTCCCACCATGTCTTTAGAGTGCATTGCACAAGAATCAAGGATGTGCCAGGCCAGGGCAAGAGCACAGAAAGAGAACAACATGAAAAGATTGAAAAATCAAGGATTCACTCGACTTCCTTCGTTATAAGAACCCATTGTTGATTCTCAATTTCCAGGAGGTTTGATGGGTCAGTCCTTCATACGCCGCGTTACACAAGAAGGAAAATGAGATTTGCTCCTCTAGGGGCTAGGTGCTCCCGTGGCACAACACCAGAGAGTTGCAAATCACTCAAATCAATCAGACCAAAATTCACATGCTCTTACGCGTCAGAGTAGTGAAAATGCAGTGCTGCGTCGTATGGCATGCAGTGAAGCCCTCTACATCACAAACGAAGCGAACACTGATTCAATGAGATATTACGAATTACATGAGTGGACATTTCCTTGTGTATGCTTGAGCAAATTTGATGATCACAAAAAATCTGCCCCACAAATTGAACTTTATTATGGAATAATTTACAGTGTACAATACAAAATGTCTTCTTAGTTGAACAACAATTACCGGTCCATAGATCAATACACCAGCATCTGTCCTCCCATCGGAGTTTAAACATCATCACCAGAAGCAAATACAGCAGTGGTTGCGATCATTTTTTGCCTCGTATTACAACGGCAGTGGTTGTGATAATTTTTTTGCTTGGTACTACTACAGCAATGCTTAAACAAATGGAACTAACCGCAAAAGATGAAAAATCATCAAGACAAATATTAGTGTCCTATGCTTCAGGAAATAGGAGATTAGATATATTACCTTTAACCTTATCATCATCCACCTTTTGCATTATTTTGAAGCATCAAGAGCGTGATAGAACCCCTTTTGAGCTGCACATTGACACAAGTCATATGATTTTAGGTTAGTTTTACTTGATGTACATATTGCAGTCCAATATAGAGCTCAACTTAATTCAGCAGAACACAGGGCAAGTTTTGTCTGTTAAAATTGTATTCTCAATCAGGCAACTTTGCAACACTGAAATACATCGAATTCCTAATTACCACCTATTTGTCCTTGAACATGATCAGAATGAACTGAATCAAAGAAAAATGTGAAATTGGATACGATAAATTTCCAAGTTTCTGTCAGATCTTTCCTGAATTTTGAAACTGCCCTAATATAACACAAGCAATGTTTTATTTCCATAATTCATGTGATGGCAATATTATGTAAGTTTGTCTGAGGTAATAAAACATGTTTTGCAAATGTTAAGAGTATTAGGGTAGTATATGTAATTTGCTAATAGTGTCAGGGTATTATGTGTAAATACAAGAGGGTGTGTATGTGTAATTCTTGTTATGAGTTACCTATAAACACAAGTGATGTATGAGAGCTAGGTTAAGTTTTGACCTATCTCTGTTTCTCTCTAATATTGTATTAATATTCTACACTTAACATGGTATCAGAGCTAATGGTGATAAATATATATTTCGAATAAATTAATTTTGTGTTGATCGTTGGTAGTGTTTTGTGTTGATCATTGGCGATTACTGTGTTGATTGTTGGTGTGATATGCGTGTGTGTTGCTGTAGTGGTGGTGGCAGTCGCCTGTGTTGATCGTTGGTGATGGTGGTGGTCTGTGTCTTGTTGTTGCCGTCGTGGTGTGTGGTGGTGGTGTTGTTGCCGTCGTGGTGTGTGGTGGCTGTGGTGGTGTCGAACCAGGGTTCTCTTGGAACCCTAATAAGCCAACGAGGAAAAAGAGCCCAGCCAGATCAGGTCAATCCAGGGACTGAACTTATTTTTAAGTCTCAACCCACGGTCCAGCCCACGGTTTAGGCCAGTTTAGCAGTCCGAGAGCTCCAGCGATCCGGTCCAGTGATCAGGAGAGCCTAGCCGAACTGGTTCAGTGGTCTAGCTCGGTTTTCTAGCCCAGTTCAGTATTACAGCAGATCCAATTGGTCCGGTTCAGTGGTCCAACCCCTATTTCCAACCCGGTTCAGTGGTCCATCCCCAATTTTCGCCCCGGTTCAATGGTCCAGCCTATATATCTAGTCCCGTTCAGTGGTCCAGTCCTTATTTCCAACCCGGTTCAGTGATCCAGCCCCTATTTCCAACCCGGTTCAGCCCTCCAACAGGTCCAACTAATCCGGTTTAGTGATCCGCCCCTATTTCCAGCCTGGTTCAGTCCTCCAGCAAGTCCAGCTGATCCGGTTCAGTGGTCCAGCCCCGATTTCTTGCTGCACTATTATAGAACCCAAGCAAAATACCACGTCCCTTACTCCATCTTTGCCTCCTCCTACTCTTATCAATGGTCTCATGACCTCTGTCAAACTCAATGGGACTAATTACACTTTATGGTCCCGATCTGTTCAAGTCTTTCTTCGAGGCAAATGATTTAAGAAATATTTGGTGAATCCTAAACCTAAGGAAGACACTCCTGAGTATGATCAGTGGGAACAAGAAGATGCTCAGATTATCTCTTTATTGTTGAATAGCATTGAGCCTAGTATTAATTCTTCTCTGCTCTATCTTGATACTACCAAAGAGATATGGGATCATTGGCTACTATGTACTCTGGTTCAGGTAATTTTACCCTTACGTATGAGGTGTTTGTAAGGAGTACTTTCGATTGGAGCAGGGTACTCTGAGTCTTGCAGATTATTACTATTATGTTAGGGGAGTCTGTGAGGAGATGAAGACCTATCATCCTTTTACTGCTGATGCAGCAGTTTGACAGAAACAACATGAGGACTTGAATGTTAGGTTTTTGGTAGGATTGAAACCTGAATATGAGGCTATTCGTTCTCAGATTTTGGGTGGTTCTAGTCTTCCATCACTGCTCGAGGTTTTCTCTCGTTTATAGCGTGCTATATTGTCTTCTCCTTCAGGCATCGATCATGGTGTCTCTACTGATCGCTCAGCTCTTGGTGGTCGAGGAGGTCGTGGGGCCGTAGTGGATCCTATTCTTGTACTCACTGTGGTCGTGGAGGACACTGTTGACTTCTGTTGGGATTTATATGAAAAATCTTCTAGTTCTGCTAATCAGGATGATACCTCAGTTGTTGCTTCCATACTTCAGTCACCTCCACCAGACACTGGGTCAGTTACTATTACACTGGGTCGAGAGGAGTATGCCCAGTTCCTGTCCCAGCAACAGGCTGTTCCATCTCCCTCCACTGCTACTTTTGCCCAGGCAGGTACTGCTTCCACTTGTTTATTGTCCTCCACTTGCAGTCTCTGGGTCATAGACTCCTGCGCTTCTGACCACATAACTGGTGCGTCTGATGTCTTTTCTACTTATCAGTCTGCTACTTCCACACGTAGTGTTACTCTTGCTAATGGTACATGTTCTAAAGTTTCATGTCTGGGGACTACTCACTTGAGTCCTAATGTGTCCTTATCATCGGTGTTTTTTGTTCCTCAGTTTCTTTTTGTTTACTTTCCATTAGTACGATTACTTGTTCTCTTAATTATTCTGTAACCTTTTATCCCTCTTATTGTGTCTTTCAGGTTCTCAAGACAAAGAGGAAGATTGGTACGGGGCATGAAGCCGGTGGCCTATATTACTTTGATTTTGATTCACCTACTCGGGTTCTACAGACCTCGTTGTCTCCTTTTCAATGACATTATCGCCTTGGACATCCCTCTCTCCAGAATCTGAAGCGTCAAGTTCCCAGTCTTAGTTGTGTATCGTCTTTGTCTTGTGAAACTTGTCAACTTAGTAAGTATCACCGTGTGTTACTTCAGTCCAGAGTCAATAATCGTGTGTCTAGTCCATTTGAGTTGGTACATTCTGATGTATGAGGTCCAATAAAGAATATTCATCTAATAAATATCCTTATTTTGTGTCTTGTGGATGACTATTCTCGTGTGACTTGGTTGTTTTTGATGAAAGCTCGGTTTGAATTATTCTCTATATTTGAGAACTTTCGTAAGGAAATAAAAACTCAGTATGGTTGTCGTATACGTATTTTACGTTTTGATAATGCTCGGGAATATGAATCTAATCATTTTTCAGCTTATTTTAATAAAACTGACATTATTCATCAGACGTCCTGTGCTTACACATCTTCACAGAACGGTATTGCTGAACGCAAGAATCGTCATTTGTTGGAAGTCACCCTTGTCCTGTTATTTCAAATGAATATTCCCCGATACTTTTAGAGTGATGTTGTACTCACTGCTTGTCACCTTATTAATTGTATGCTATCCTCTGTGTTAAATGGACAAAATCCATATTCTGTCATTTTTCCTGGTAAGCTCTTATTTACCCTAACTCCTAAGGTTTTTGGATGTGTCTGTTATGTTCACAATTTGGGTCCTGGGTTTGATAAACTTGATCCTCAAGCTATCAAATGTGTATTTCTTAGTTATTCCCGCACACAGAAAGGATATCGTTGCTACAGTCCTTCTCTGCAGCAATACTTTACTAGTGCCAATGTCACATTTGAAGAATCTGTTCCATATTTTTTAGCACCTTCTCAGCCTTTGGATCTGGACTTTGAGTCACCTCTTGTACCACCATTCCTTCCCTCATCTTCAGATATTTCGCTGCGTACTATGTTACAGTCTACTTTATCTCTTCATGTATACTCTCGTTGTCCTCGATCATCGACTGAGGTGTCCGTACCGTCTTCCTTGCCACCTTTTGATCCTAGTCCATTAGGTAATTTAGACTCTTTACCTACTGCTCTTCGAAAAGGTACTCGTTCGTGTGTTACTAATCATCTCATTGCTCACTTTGTTTCATATGATACCTTATCTCCTATTTTCTCTTGTTTTACCTCTCAATTATCTACTATATCTACCCCTAAGCATTTACAGGATGAATTATCTAATCAGGGTTGGAGGAAAACTATGGAGGATGAGATGGATGCCTTACATTATAATAAGACTTGGGATCTTGTTCCTTTACCCCTTGGTAAACGAACTGTTGGTTGTCGTTGGGTGTATAATGTTAAATTTCATCCGAATGGTTCTGTGGAGCATCTCAAAGCCTGACTTGTTGCAAAGGGCTTTATTCAGACCTATGGTGTTGATTATGAGGAGACTTTCTCTCCTGTTGCCAAAATTTTCTCTGTTCGTATCTTGATTTCTTTGGCTGTTAATCTTGATTGGCCCTAGTTTCAGTTAGACGTCAAGAATGCCTTCCTCCATGGTGACTTGGTTGAAGAGGTATACATGGAGCAGCTACTTGGGTTTACTGTTCAGGGGGAGTATGGTAAGAGTGTATGTCGGTTAAGAAAATCTTTGTATGGTTTGAAGCAATCACCGAGGGCATAGTTTGGTAAGTTTTCAGATGCAGTTTGAGAATTTGTTCTTCTTCGATGTCAGACAGACCATTCTGTGTTCCATAGACAGACGGATGTTGGATATGTTCTATTTGTGGTCTATGTAGATGATATTGTGATTACTGAAAATAATTCTGAGGGGATTGCTAAGTTAAAAATCTTCTTGCAAGATCGCTTTCATACTAAGGATTTGAAAAAACTCAGGTATTTCTTGAGAATTGAAGTGGCTCGATCTAAACAAGGTATTTGTTTATCACAGAGAAAATATATACTTGACATGCTAGAGGAAGCAGGTTTGTTGGGTGGCAGACCGATTAATGTTCCTATAGATCCGAATCAGAAACTATTAATGGAGGATGGTGCACTGTTTGAGAATCCGGGTCGGTATCGCAGATTGGTTGGAAAGCTTAATTATCTCACTATTACTTGCCCAGATATTTCTTATGCAGCCAGTATAGTAAGTCAGTTCATAGGGTGTCCTAGAGTACTACATTGGGAGGCAGTTACTCGTATTCTACGATATCTTAAACGAGCTCCTGGACTTAGACTGTTATATCAAACTAATGGACATCTTAGAGTGGAAGGTTTCTCAGATGCTGATTGGGCTGGCTCTCCTTCTGATCGGAGATCAATTACTGGTTATTGTACTTTCTTAGGAGATAACGTTGTCTCATGGAAAAGTAAAAAATAATCTGTGGTAGCAAGATCCAGTGCTGAGGCTGAGTATAAGGCAATGGCGTATACGACAAGTGAGTTGACTTGACTACTCCACTTTCTCCAGGAAATTGGGTTTCCAGTTCAACCTCCTTTACAGTTGTTCTGTGACAACCAGGCAGCTATCCATATCGCTGTCAATCCGGTGTTTCACGAGAGAACCAAACATATTGAAGTTGATTGTCACTTTATTCGGGACAAGATAATAGCTGGGGAAATTACAACTCCATTTGTGAAATCTGAAGATCAACTTGCAGATATGTTTACCAAAGCATTGAGTCGTACACGTCTTACAGAGATTTGTTCCAAGCTTGGATTATATGATATATATAGTCCAACTTAAGGGGGAGTGTTAAGAGTATTAGGGTAGTATATGTAATTTGCTAATAGTGTTAGAGTATTATGTGTAAATACAAGAGGGTGTGTATGTGCAATTCTTGTTATGAGTTACCTATAAATACAAGTGATGTATAAGGGCTAGGTTAAGTTTAATATTCTACATTTAACAGTAAACACATCTAGGGATGATAGATAAAGCAAGACCCACATAGAGATAGCTTTGAACATTAAAATTCAAAGAAACCTTTACAATGCAACCACATAGTTACATATTACACTCAGAACTTCTACATTTCTGGCCAGCTTAAAGAGATCAGATGTATCTGGAATTAGGTCTCATTATCTGCAGAGACTTGAGATCATTCATGCAATCGCATCCAAACAAATATAGTTTCAAACCTTGGCACACTTCCACGACGACGTGGGTCATATTCTGTTGCCTGTCGAAGAGCTCTTGCAAAAGCCTTGAAGGTTGCCTCAATAATATGGTGAGAATTTTTCCCAGCAAGCTGCTTCCACCCAAAATTAAGGTATTAGCAAGTGAGGTGAAAACAAGACCATTTACATTAGATTGCTTTCCAATGTACTCAAGTATGATTTGCCCACTAAGAAGTTCATAAGCAGATGGATGAAATGTACATTCAATATTTCTTCCTGGCATAAGGAGGACATAACATAAGCACCATAATTAGCAACAAAAGTTAACCTTTGAAAAATAATGTTTATCACTATACAAAATTCCTGTAATAAATGCAAGCAACTGACAATTATTACCTGTCGTATGTGGAGCGTCATTCCAGAAGTATTGACCAAAGACTGGAAAAAGTGCTCCACCAGCTGAGAATAACAAATTTGTAATTTTGTACATACCATTTCAGCTGGGAATATGTTCAGAAGGAAAACAGAGAAAAGGAAACTACAAAGAGACTGAGCAGTCAGGTAGAAAAAATAAGAAATATTGACCCAGAAGTGCAAGAGTGATCAAATCATCAAAGAGGATGAAATACCTGTGTGTCATACGTTCCTACTCTCTCAGTGGGTATGCATAAATCATAATTCAAATGGGGCCGTCCAGATAAATCCTAAACCAAATCCAAAGTACCATAAGCACATATGTTTTTTGCATAACAAAACAGATTAAGATTGCAGTGGAGAAGTAAACCATTAGTACACGAGTATATACACTGCTTCCTCTGTTATCTATTGAGACTAATTGCAGACTTTCTCATCAAGTCAATAGTTGAATGGGGATGTGTGTGCATGCATGTGCAATCCTTGGGGCTCATTTTATGGTGGAAAGCTCCAACATTGTCACCAAGCATATCCTGGGTATTTTTTCAAATCACCTTATTGTTGCCACAATAAATACTATGTTTCTTCCACCCACAACTAACTTCCTATCTTATTTATTCTAGTTGGCTGTAGAGGCTGAATGCTTCCCAGCTCAATAAGGGTAGCAAAGCTTTGTGTACCTTGTAACCTGAGTAAAACAAGTATGGGATTGCTCACATGCTTTCTAAGCTCAGCCCAGAAAGCTGTCCCCAGGCCTGACATGTACCCCCTATGCCAGAAATGGTTTATAGTGGCAAAGGTTAGTAGACGTTCAGTCAATCACAAGCACATCCAACTATGTACTTAAGCAACTACAACTGTCCAATGGATAGCATAAATCAGAACCACTTCTTTGTCACTAAGCTCAATGAATCAACAATGAAGATCTTAAAGTTCATTTCCCACAGGTGCCTTTGACTGTCAACCTATTGTAATACAAATGTTGATTATCAGACCATACAAGAGTGTAGATCAGATACAATCTAGTGACCCAAAAAATATAATACCATTCCAGCATTCTATGTGTCATGACTAAATATAAAGTTGCTAGTTCATTTTTTGGACCAATACTGTTAATTACATGTAAAAATCATTTTTGTATTAAAGAACTTCCTTGTAGAGCTGGTGATATACCAGTGAAACGTGTATTAGTGCTTCGTCAAGGGGAGCGGAGAAGTCACCAAACCGGTTAATTCCTTTCCTATCACCAAGTGCTTGCAGCAAAGCCTGCACGAACAAGCTAATCAATTAGATTGAAAATTTTGGTAAAAATATAAACGATTGTAGCAAGTAAAAGGGACTATGAAAGTGCAGCAAGGAACTGAACCACTCGATTATGCTCCACATAACACTTATCACTTGCAAATGCAATTGATATATAAAGAAACATGAACAAATTTGAAGTAACCTCATCCAAACATTGTGCTATACAGAATGAACAAACACAATTCCTATGACACCAAACATTCTATGATTAGAGTAATACAAACAATAAACTACAGCAATGATTACATAAACTACTGCAACAGCTTTAGAAGGTCACCGTTCCAATGGCGAGGGCAACATCCTCATTCGTGTGATGATCATCAATGTGAATATCCCCAGTAGCCTTTACATGCACGTTGAACAACCCATGCGAAGCAAGTTGCTACAAAAACATTAAAACACAAACAAACAAACAAATAAATGACCACCACGCCAACTTCATGATTAGTTATCATTATGCAATCAACAGGGGAAAAAAATATAAGATCATGGGCTTGGTTGCTGGTTCATTTGAATGGATTCTCATCTGTTACAAATGTCACTAGTTCTATGCTTTCCTCCATTTCCTAGGCAACCAAACAAAGCATAAGCGTCAATCTAATACAGTAATACTAATGAATCACTCCCAAGTGTAGTGTAAATATACAAGTTTCTTTACTTAAAATGTGTCAAAGAATTTTTTTTCTTCCCAGGAATCTGTTGCTAACATTTTCCTCGAGAAAAAAAAAGACATTTGTGCCAAAAGAAACAGAGACATACATCCAACATGTGATCAAGAAAAGGAATTCCAGTACTGCTATCAGCAACACCTGAACCATCCAAGTCTATCTTCACCGATACATTCGTCTCTTTCGTAACCCTTTTGACCTCTCCGATTCTCCCTCCTCCCACTGAAAATTCAAATTCAACAAATAAACAAAGAATTCATCACAACAATTCGAAATTCCTAATGAAATTGAGATTCAAAAGTAAATGAATTTTGTTTTACCGGAATCGACTAAATTAGAGATAGTTGGAGAGCCATTGTTCGAGGCACTAGGGATCATTGTTCTCTGAGCGCCGATTCCAATTGGAGTAGAGGGTTTGGAGCGGTTAAGGCGTGTAGGGATGAGATTGGGCTGTAAAAACCTAACCCCAGTCTTCAGAGGTTGAGATGATAATGGGGAAGAAGAAAAAGAGTGATTGACAAGACGATTGGGAACGGAAATCTCCATGAGAGTGAGATGAGCAAATCACGAGGGCAATGTTTTGGTGAGCTCACCACACTCTTTTAAGTTTACCAATACGACAACGTTTTTTTTTCCTCAGAAACAAAGTTGCCTGTAGGGAAATCAATTATGTCGGGTGAGTAAACGGATTCACATCGTGTCCAATCGAAGTTTTGTCAAAAAAATATTTTATTTACACTGGATTCCTTTATAAATTTATGACTAATGAATCGGGTTATATCAAATTCGTATCGTATATAAATGATATATATACTTAATATATAAACGAATCGTGTTATATTTTTTTTATTAACTTAACTTATGCTCGATTTATTTATTATTTGTATCATATCGAGTCTACTCGTTTATAAAATATATAATTTGAGAAAAATTTAAACTCTTCATGTCATATTAATGAATCTTATCATATTTTAACAATTATAATTGCATTCGTGATAATACTACTGTACCTTAGGGTTAAGGTCAAGGTTGAGATTCACGTCCGTGTTCAAATTCTCTAAAATTGTGTTGGTCGAACATAGTGCCTACCAATCAGGGCTTATTTGAATTTTAACTACATGATTATCAATTATGTTGTATAATCGTATCATATTAGACTCATATCATGTATAAATAGTGTATAATTGATATATAAATAAGTTGTATCGTATAATTTTTTTTTATTTCACTCATACTCGATTCGTTTATTATTCGTATTGTGTCAAGTCTACTTATTCACGAAAATAATAATTCAAGAAAGACTTGAACTCTTTCATTTTGTGTCATTTCGTATTATGCTTGTATTGTGTCATGTTTTAAAAATCCTAGTTGCATACGTGGTTAAAAATCCTAGTTGCATACGTGGTCGTACCACTGTGCTTTGGGGTCGGGGTCAATGCATTGTTTTAGAGGCATGAACTCAATTTGCCATATGGAGAATATTGTATAGAGACTGTCACAACCAATGAAAATTACTTGGAAATCAACATAAAAATCAAACCATCATGCCTAATTTATGTTAGAAACGCAAACAACCCTATATGAAGTCGGCTTTAAGGTAAGGTTGTGTACACCTAAATCTCTCAAATTTGATGTTTACGAGAATCTTGTGCACTATGCCAAATATGCATGTTGATTCAAAGACAATCTAACCACCACCCCATAATAGATCTAATTTTTATACTGAAGGTAGAGTTAAGCAGCTGCACCCTCACATTCTTTCCTCAACTTCCTGGAGAGCCATACTGCAATGCCTGCAACTCGAAATCTCCGGTTGGGTAGGCAATGGGTGTCTTCCACCCTAAGTTTTTTAAACCCGCATCGCCGCTTGACTCTCTGAAACATGCCACAGAGGTAAGGGACTACCCGTGTAGTCCTCCATTGCCTCTCCCTTCATCCAACAAGCCCCGCCAATTCCCACCTTCAAAGCTGCTCCAGCTGTGTTAGAGAGACTGTGAAGACGCAACAATCGATGCCTTGGCCATGTTCAAGCATTCTCTGAGATGCACTTTTGTCTATTGGGGGGGGGGGGGGGGGGGGTAGAAATAGAGGTTATATATATAATAATAGCACATGACAGCAAAGGAATCAAAATGGACGTGCCTGCACTTCCTTTGGTAGTGGTTCACATGACTAAAAATTAGTGGAGTGCATTGGATGGAAAACACCTCACTGGTGTAATACTTTATAGTCAACCTAATATGCGTAATTTGCAACTGACTGCACCACCAAAATTTAAGCGAAATTCAGGTGAAGCGTTGTTGAGAGAAAATTCTCGTTTTGAATGCAAAATCACCTGTTCCTCGTAAGGATAGGGCTCTATCATGACGACTACACTTTTAAGATTAGATGTAGTAAAAACAAATGAGTAAAAAGGGCAGAGTTCTCACTACTCATATGATGACTAAATTATCATTTCAATGATGAATTACAAGGCACTAGACGAAACTAAGAAACAAGCACTCAAATCTGTATATGTACACAAGGGCAGCTAGTATTCACTTACAAAGTCTGCATGATTCACAAAATTGTTGCCATTATTGGAGGATATGGTTCGAACGCAGGTAACTTCTGTTTGACTGTCATGTTAATTGAACACATCCCAGCGGCATCAAATGCACCAGATCTTTCAGAACCCTATGGAACAAAACCCTGAAGACGATATCCTGACAAAGGGCAGGCTGCGCCCATATTCCTCCAAATAATCTCATATGGCACCACAACAGAACTCTCAAACACCAAGAATTATAGTGTTGACTCAACAGTGGTCATAGAACCCTAGCCATTTGGGTCAAGATCATTTCAACTGAACCATTCTCAATCCTTGCTACAGAGGCATCAGTCCCTCACTTATCACAAAAGGATGCAGAATGGCACTTTCACAATGCATCGGATTGGAAACTTCTGTAGCTACATGAAGTTCAGTCGATTGCACTACGATACTTTAAGCATATTCAAATATAAGAACCACCACCAAATCCTGTCAGATACCCACTTGCTTCATAAGTGTCAACCAACTCCACCTCTCCAATAGACTGAAAAATTTTCACTTCCGAAACCACAAGTTAATTCACTTGCCCGCATAAAGTGCAGCCAACTTATTTAAATCAACGTTGAATTGCATGCAACATCAGTTGCGTGAGAAGCAGAAACACAAACAGGATTCTGACTCGTTGATTTCTTCGGCAGTATTCTTCATAGAAGTTATCCAAGGGGAATCAACAACCTGTTCATCACAAGTACCATTGACATGCACTTTATGATTATCATGCACGTCACCAATTCCAGATCATATAGCTTTCAGCAGAAGCAACTTTTGCTTCAAAAACTGAATTCTGAAGCCAAAGATAACTCAATATCCACTTCTTTTCTTTTTTTTTCCCGGTAAGTAAGATAAAACTCAATATCCACTTCAATTGCACTACAATGGTTCAAATATGGTTTGATGTCATGGTACTCTCATTGTTACCACAAAAACTAGAGGCAGACAACTTGAATTAAAGATCGAGGAATTGGAGGATACCATACCCCTTTATGTCATTGATGCGGAAACATCAAACAATGTTCTACTTGGGCAATAATTGTGCCATCCCTTCCATTTATCACTAATGTTTCAAGTAAACCAAAGGTGGTGAGCACACAAGATAATGGTATTCTTCAATTTCTTCAGTACTACTCTGTGCAGAAACATCCCTACAAAATTAAGGGCAGGTTCAATTTAATCAACTTTGATGTGGCCTTTATGATCATCATCCACATCGTCACAGCAGAGAGGATGTTACCTTCAATTGGAGCAGCTTTTGCATCAGTAGCAACTTCAACATCAGAAACAAGTCCTGCAGACTAATGTGATGTGTTTTCCATATCAACTGCACTTGGATGAGGGGTAGAAACGGGAGTGGAATTCTGCTTTTCATTGACCTTTTCTGTAGTACTCTGCACAGAAGTTTCTAACAATGCTTTGAATACTGGTTCAACAGAAGCATCTTTCACATTCACTTCATGAGCATCACCCTCAGAACCCTTCACAAAAGACTGAATATTACCTTCACCAGGTGTAACTTCTGCATTAGAACCAACCTCTGAAGTCACATGCAACTTGCTTTCCATTTCAACTGTACTGTCTTGATTCAGCTCAAAGGTAGATTGCAGGGTACTCTCATGAGTGGCACAAATTGTAGAAACAGAAACAGGATTCTGATTTCCATTGGCCTCCTCAGCTACACTCCTCGCAGAAGTTCCGCTTACAGAATCAAGAACAGATTCAACAAAAGGAGTTTTGGCATTTACTTCGTGAGCATCACCCATGACAACTGCTGCAGAAGACTGAATATTATCTTTCACCAGAGGAGTGTGTTCCATTTCAAGAATGGCAGAGCAGGATGTAGCCTCCTTGCTAGAGAAATGTTTAGATTCACTAGAACTATTCAAAGAACTAACCATTACAGTTCCATCATACAAAAGAACACTTGGGGCTTGTGAACCAGAATCCTTAGCAACTTTTTCGTTGATCCTATTCACATGGTGCACTCCAGTATCATCACGACTGTGGCAATGATGCTTGGAAGAGGACTCCATGTCAGACTTTTCTATCAAATCAGGTGGTGGATGATTTTCTTTCAATTCAACGTTCTTCGCACCTAGGGTAAAAAATGTGAAAAGTCGAATAAAAGGAACAGATATGAACTCAGGAAAGACAAAAAAGCACATTCGAAAAACAAACCTGAGTTGGCAACAATTTTTCCATCCACGGCTTCTTGCTTCACAAGACGCTTCTGTAACATATCTGTACCGGGAAACACTAACATGTTTATAGACTTCATTTCTTTTTTGTCTGATTCCTCAAGAGGTTGGAAACCAAAAACACCGGTCCATGTATGCATGTGTTCAGCAATAGCAGGAATAACCATTTTCTCAACTTCGAGAAAGCCAAGGGCCTGAAACAGAAACATAACAAAGTAAACCATTAGCCTAAGGTCCTGTTTGGTAACACTTTTTATTTTTTATTCTGTTTTTGTTTTCAGTTTTTGTCAAAAAAAAAAAAACAACAGCAACAGCAACGCGTTTGGTATTTATTTTCGTTTTTTTCCATGTAATTTGTTACGAAAACAAGTCCCAAATTTGCAAACAGAAAATAGGTGTTTGCAAAAACACCAAAAAAAGGAAACACGAGCGCCCCTCAGCTCATGGTTTGGAATAACTGTAATGGGTGGTGTAACGGTATCGATAACGGTGTAACGGACACAGAATGTAATGGACGTTACATAGCAGTAACGAAAATCGGAATCGTGAATTTTGTCAATACATTCACAACTATCGACAAAAATTAAAATTTTCTATATATTTGGATCAAAATAAAATAAATTTAGTTTTTTTGTAATTTATAATAATTTTTTATTATATTAATCACTTTGGTATGCTAAATTACATAATTAATCCAAATTTATGGCAAATGAAAGAAAATCCAAGCAATTAATATATGTTGATTTGAAAATTGTATTCAAAATAGGAAGGAATCAAAAGAACCGGTAGATTTAGATAATTGGAATAAAATAAAAATATTTTGTAATTGTCAATAAAAATTATTAGCCGTTGAATTTGTGCAAGAAAGACCCCACCACCTATAAGTCTTTTTTTTGTTTGAATCCACTCCTTCACATTTTTTAAAGAACATGACACTTGTCATTTATTCATTCACTAAATTAGTTGATAATGCATCAACAACCATGCATTATACAGGTTGTAGAAGAAAATGCTCCACTTGATTTTTGCCTTTCCCAAAAGCCTGTCGATGTCAGCCAGTCCTTTCTCAGCCTAGTCATCTCCATCGTCAAGCTTTTACGTCTTTATACTTCGGTCATATCTTCCGACTAGAAAACCTCCATGGACGAGCAGTGGAAGCTAAAAATTAGGCCGTTACGGTAGCCTAATTGATTGTAACGCTTCCATAACGCCCGTTAAATCCCGTTACAGTGCCATAACGGTCGTTACATGTGTGAAATTTTTTCTATCCGTTATATCGGGGTGTAACGGGATTGGAGTTCAACGTTACCGTTACGTAATGGCCGTTATGCATTGTAACGGCCAATTTTTAAAACCCTGCCTCAGCTCCAATTAATGAGGTCTCACCTTCGAAACCCATGAGCAGTACAAAAAGGAATTTTTTTTTGTTCCAAGTATAAAAAGGCCTTTTTTTACCCCTTTCTACCTTTCGTTCATCTTTCTCTCTCACGAAGGCGGGGAAGGAAGCCAGCGAAGGGAGCTCTCAGATCTATACCTACGCAATCTCTCTCAACACTCCATCTCCATCAATATCTCTCTCAAGGTCAGATTTCCTACTCTTTTCCATCTTCATCAATCTCTTTCTCTCTCTAACCCTTCTCTATGGAATTAATTTTTTTAAGTTTGGGTTTTGTTATATACATAGATCTGTGTATATATATTCATATATAGTCCTAGATCTATGTATATTTTGTTATATTTAGTTAGATCTCTGTGTGTGCGCGCCATGGGTGTATGTGTTTGAATGTGTGTGTGCGTGTGTGTGTTTTCATCCTCTGTGTGTGTGTGTGTGTGTGTCAAGATTTATTGCTAAGTTCTGATTTTTTTTTCTTTTTTGCCTATTTAAAAGATCTCATTTTATTTTTACATTCACTTCTTTTTGTCATTGAAAAATCTGGCATATTTGGAAGGAGATCCAGACTCTTCTAAGGGGAATAGATTTTCATATGTGCCGTGTATTTAGGGAAGCTAATTCACTGGCCAATTCTTTAGCAAATAAAGGAGTAGAAGATCAGGTATACAACTTATACCAAGATTATATTGCTTTTCCTTCTCAAGCTAGGAATATTTTACTCCAAGATTCTCTCCAATTGCGCCAACTAAGGAGGAAGCTAACAAAGGAATTAGGTTTTTCCTTTTTATAATTATGGAAGGTGCATGCATTGTCTTTTATTTTTTTATCTTTATGAAACAATGTAACTTGGAATGCATTTGAGGGGTAACCTAGAATGCATTAGTTAAAACATTTAGGTAATATGTGAGACTTGGTAGTTGTGTTTGTTAATGTTTTATATTTTTATCGTTGGGCATTTAGGTTTTTTGTAATCTGTATTTTTGTACTTCTAAGACAATTGAAAAGGAGATCGGTGATGACAAAGAATTTCAATTTGATTTGTATTGTGCATTACTTTTGTTTGCATTTGTATTAATTGTTCGAGTTTAATGACAAACAATGGGATATATTGTTATGTTTAATGACTTGTGTGATTCAATTATCTTGCTTTCGTTGTTATTTGATGAGTTGGTGGATGTGTTGGGATAAGAAATTTTGAGTTGTTTTTTGTAGTAGGAAATACTATTAAGGCTAATAACTAGGGTCAATAACTTGAATCGGTTACCAAATATGTTTTTTGTTTTTGTTTTATAATTTCTGAAACATAAATGACTATCAAACATATTTTTTGTTTTTTATTTTTATCACAGAAAAAACAATAATTGTTTCTGTTTTTTATTTTTTTGAAAACACAAAAACAAAAATGTTACCAAACGCAACCTAAAACAATGGGAAGAAAGAAAGCAAGGTCAATGAAGAAAAGGAAAAAGAAAAAGAAGGAACCTTCTCAGAATTTGATGGAGAAATCAACACTTAGACAATGGCAACTAATAATCTAAAATATTGAAACACATTATATGTGTACATATGCAACAACTACAGGAACAAGCATGAATGACAGGAGAGCCCAAGATCTCAAAAGCCAGGGTGGAGATCTGAAGAGCTAACATATATTAACCATTCTTTTGAAAACATAATATCATCATATTTGCACAATTTCTGACATTACAAAGCAAGGCCAACCAAAAAATATTATCTCCATACCGATTCAATAGCATACAATAGTCGACGGCACATCCCTTGGCGTCTATATATATGGCGGGTCCCAATGAATGGCATCTCTGCTAGTTGAGTCCCATGTATCCTAACCAGGGGATGAACAGTATAGTGATTAGTGCTGATCAGCACACGTTGATGGGCACACAAAGTATAAGAAACATCCCAACTAAATAATCAGTTTTAAAAATGGATTACCAATAAGGTGATCTAGATAAATGAATCTAAAGACATTAAGAAGACAATAACGACTGTTAGTCATCTTAAATGCCAAACTTCTTCAATTTTCAAGAAAAACATTTCACAGTGGACACCCACTTTAACCAATGCAGAATTTTCATCTCCAAATGACATTCCATAACGATCCAAAAGAATATTCAGTGTGAGAATACCCCATTGATCAAGAAAAGCGGAATCTAAACTAGTGCAGTAAGCTAATGGTATGTTCCTGGGATCTTTTGTTCCAATCCAACCCCCCTCCACACACACAAAAAGTCAAAAATCAAGAAGGACTCCCAAGGGCGTTACCTACGACAAAAACACCGAAAGGGCAAAGCTTGGAGGTGTGGAGGATCCTTATAAACTCACCTCACTTGGTTTCCCTGATCAATGAGGAACATTTTTTTCCTTTGATCTTATTCCCCCTAATAATTGTGACGCAGCTATTGGCATATACAGTTGCCCCAGTTACAAGACATTGCTACCACATTTATCCATTAATTAACTCTTCTTGCCAGTTGCCACAGAAAATATGTAATCATAAACTGCATATGCAACAAATACAGCTTCAAAACTACGAAGAATTATACCTGATGGATGCTGCAGAAATTATTTCATCGCCCCTCTCCAAAATCGCTGTATAAAAGCCACTATAGTTCAAACGACTGAAGTTTGATCTACAGAAAAAAAAAAATTAAAAACAACATATATTCAGATAATATGCGACAACCCCAAAAAAGTACCACAGTTAAAATAATCATCAAAGATAGCAATTAATCATACCTACTCATTCTACACCATGAAGAGAAAAGTATGATTAGAAAAATGAGGATGTGGAAGACAAAGCATGACAAAAATATAAGTTGTATGCCTTATTGTCTTTTTTTTTTGGAAAGTAAGTATGCCCTATTGTCATAGCAATACATACGAATATTCAATTGTACTTTACCCTCCAACAGCTATTAGCAAATGAAATCAGTCACTCAATAGGTACTATCCTTAAAAAACATCTAAATGGCCTAACATTCGTAACCTTCTCTCACATGTGGGGCTAACGAACCGACCTACTCGACCTAGGCTTAGGTTCAGCTCATTCAGGCTCGGCACATTTAGACTCGTTTTCTAAACGAGCCGAACTTGAATAAATTTTTAGGTTCGTTTAGAAAGCGAGTTTGACAGACTCGGCTCAAGCTTGTTTGTGCTCGTTCGATTATCAACCCTACTCACATGCACAGCCAATAAAAGTTTGTGGCATCACAAAACTGATTTACTAACTGGTCTGGGAAACGAGGCTGCTTTAAATGGTGGAAGAACTGCCTCGCTAGCCAAATATGCTAGAGCTAGTTATGCAGCACTGGTTGAATCACTAGTAATTTGTTTGCCATAGATTGAGCTGTGGCTGCTAGTCACTGGGGTGGTCTTATCCTCTTGGATTGTTGAGGAATCAATAGTAATCGTAGGAACATCCACCACATACCATATCGTAGCCAAATCTATTGACTTTGATGTATGTAGATCAGAAAAGTCTCTCAGGCCTGTGCGGCTAATGCCCATCAGAATGCCCAAAAAGGTTAATCTATGAACATAATAATGGCAGCTTTTCAATTAATGCATTTATTAGTATCAAAAAAAGGAAAAAACAAAAAAGAATGAGTGGTTAATATGTGCCTCATATAGAAACCTTAAGAAAACAAACTAGTTGAGCAAATGCGTAACGTGTACCAATAGTAGGCTGCATAAATTAATATGTGGACAAAATTCTGCATAGTTCCAGAC